ACAATGAACAGTGGGGCAGTTTTTGCGCTTCATCAAGTACCCCAAAAACTGAGCCAACTTTGAGCATTCCCCCACCCCCACGAGTCCTGGCTTGTGTCAGATGGACGCAGCCCTGGGGCGGTTATGTAACTTGCTTATGGAAAGTCAAGACTAATTTAAAAGAAGAAAAATGACCGCAGACGCTTGACCACACTTTGAAGTTGCTACCATGCAGTTTTGCTGGCCTTGCTGGTTTAGTAATCAAGGGCAGAGGTGAACAGAACTACATACTTACAATGGCCTTTTGAACAGTTTTAGATTAGATTAGATTTGATTGATGCACAAAATACAACAAAACCTTGGTAGAGCAACACTTCAGCTCTAGGAAATTCTTACATCTAGTGTCTCCGTAAAAACAAATGAATACAATTTTTGAACTTTCACTTACTACTACTGTAACTGTTTTGGAGGAAAAATTATAGTTTTATTTTCAACTTCATTCATCAGCTTACAAAAGGAAGAGTTTGGTGTGTTAGTAATACTATTATTGACTTATCGTTCAGTACAGTGGTCCCTCGTTTATCGTGGGGGTTACGTTCTAAAAAAAAACGCGATAGGTGAAATCCGTGAAGTAGTCAACTTTATATTTTACAGTTATTATATCTGTTTTAAGGCCTGTAAAACCCTTCACCACACACTTTATACACTTTTCTCAGACAGAACAGTTAACCCTTTTTACATCCTTCTTAAAATGTATTGCTGCTGTCGTCCTTATGTTATTTTCCTTCTTCTTTATGTAACAAACCAAAGATTTATTTATTCCGTAATGGAGCCCTACAGCACAGAGTCCTGCACTGGTCCATTTTTGGAAACCCCCACCCGCGCAGTACAGCACGGCACCCGCCCCTTAACCCGAGATTATATCAAACTTTTGCACTGCATATGGCACAAACTGAACCAAGACTAAACCAGAACTAACCTAGGACTGATTCCAGGACTGCAACAGGAGGGCTAAACCAGGACTGAACTAGGACTAAAAAAGGACTAAAAAGAACTGAACCAGGACTCACGATCGAGACAGGACTGGAGGTGACCAAAGGAGAAAGGATCGATTGAGAGCTCTGCAGCACACGGTAAGTGCAGCAATTGCCCGATCGCACTGCACTTCAGAATCACATTGCTAACGATCGAACATTTAAGTAAATTTGGCAAGCTGAACGCATTCTGTACTGTTCAGGAGACATGGCACGGAGGAGATTGATTGACAACGGTCTACAATCCCTTAACCAATCAGGATGCAGGGGGAGGAACACAATACGCTGTAAATCATATGCTGTAAAACAAAGCATGCAAAATTGCACAAAAAAAATCTGCGATAAAATGAGGGACGACTATATATGAAAGCTGTAAGAATATATTTTGGGGCTCAATGTTTTATTTGTGTCATGTGTACAATTTTTTGCAATAGTGGGATAATTTAGTATTTTTTCTCTGCACTGTGATACAATTTGCGCTATAGGGGGTTGAATAAATAACTTCTATGGCTAAATATATTCATCCAGCTATTTATTTGTTGCAGCTCATGCCTTTTAATAAAAACTGCTTTACTGGGATTCCCCTGCTTTGTGTCAGTGGCCTAAAATAGTTTCAATATTATTGTTTATGGCAAAATTTCTCTGTAGCAATTTATCAAGCTTCAAAATTTGTTATTGTGACAAGCCTATAAAAGAGTATCTTAAATTAGAGTTGACTAGATCCACTTTATTCTTAATATTTTAAAAAGATAATCACAAAGACAAACATTTCTACTTCTATGATAGAGGCAGGGATTTTTTTTTACCTATCTTAAGTATCCGAGATAAGCAACACGTCCTAGTTAAAGCCAGAAGTATGTAGTCATTGGTTTCCTTTGGCCCTTTTGCCCACTCAAAAGATATAATACTGTTTTGAATTGTTACTTGCTATGGCAACAGTATTAGATTTTCATCCCCCTGAAGCCCATAGCTATAATGTGTAGGAGGAATGAAGGCGGTAAAATTGATAGCGATGATGGAGTGCAGAAAATGAGTTACAAAAGGGTAAAGTAGTTAAAACAGTATGTACATGATCTTTTAGTAGATGAAAAGTCCTGTACTAAGCAAAATTGACTCCTGTGAGATTTAAGCCATGTTATAATGTTGCTGCCTCATCAAAAACATACCTGGAGTTGTGTTTTGTTTCACTCACACATGTTTGAGCAATCCTGCATTATTTGTCTGTCTAAAAGTGAAACTGAAGAGCTCCAAGTCCCATCTGAAGGAGCAGGACCACAATTTGAAAAACACTGCTCTAACAAAAGGTGTTCTGAAAATACAGAAATAATGAAGTGTGTGTTTTTATTCAAGCAACATGGAATAATTAAGATGTGAAAGTGAAAGAAAGATAAAACCAGGACAAAACCAGGTCCAAACCAGGTCTAAACCAGGTCTAAACCAGGTCTAAACCAGATCGAAACCAGGTCGAAACCAGGTTGACACCAGGTCTAAACCAGGTCCAAACCAGGTCTATAACAGGTTGAAACCAGGTCCAAACCAGGTCGAAACCAGATCTATTACATGTCTAATCCACTCTAAACCGGGTCCAAACCAGGTCCAACCCAGTGGTAAACCAGGTCTATAACAGGTCCAAACCAGGTCTAAACTATGTCCAAACCAGGTGTAAACCAGGTGTAAACCAGGTCCAAACCAAGTCTAAACCAGGTCTAAACCAGGTCAATAACAGGCCTAAACTAGGTCGAAACCAGGTCGAAAACCAGGTCGAAACCAGGTCGAAACCAGGTCTATTACAGTACAAAACCAGGTCTTAACCAGGTCTAAACCAGGTCTATTACAAGCCTAAACCAAATTTATAACAGGACTATCTGTCTACAAACCTCAAAATGCTCTGTTCCACCTTATGATGTCTTCATGCAGTATAGTTGAATGTAAACAACTACCTTTTACATTTTATTTAGTAGAGCTTGTCAATTCCATAGCTGAAAATAATTTAAAAAATTATATAAATGACTCTATATAACATGTATAGAGTTTAGAAACACAGTGGAGGACTTCATGTATTACCACATGACATCACAAGGTGGAAAACAGTGTCTTAATCTGCAAGGTTTGTGTGTTAAACATGTGTGAATAAAACAAAACACAACTCCAGGTCTGTTTTTGATGAGGAAACAACATTATAACACAGATCAGAAAATCGTGTAATACGAGCCCTTTAAAATGCCAGTTTATGTAATGTTCTTTTGACTGAACATTTTGTGAGTTTGGATTAGCAGCCCTCGCCAAAATTGTCAAAAGGTACAGAGGGTTCCCATGCAGAGCTGTGAGCAGTAATTAGAGGGAGACACAGAGGAAAGTGAGGACTCCCAGCAGGCTCAGAGACAGCAGGGGACCGTAGAATAAAGCCTTCGCCCCATGTCTAACCACCACACACTATTGTTTACTATTCGACCGGTGACTGCTCCCCTGCCAATCCTCTCAAACTGCCAAAGCACAGTTTCCTGATGAGCTGGGGCATTACGACAGGCAGTGGGAACAGAGGTCAGAGCCAAAATGGAGGACACAGTGACCCCGGAGTGAGGTCCCACTTCATTCAGATTGATTCATAACAAACCGTGCCAAAAACCGACAGCAGGCATCGACCCAACATGTCAACACACAGCAGGCATTTTATCAAGAAATCAGCCTATGCATATCTGACAGATGTGATGCCTCACAAGTACTTTGACTTTTACAGCTGGAATGTATATGAGAGCAGGGAAATGCACGTAGCACAGTTGTTTTAAATCAACACTGTGTAACTTTTCTGGTTGTGTCATGGGAATGGTATTGCTTTGCCTGGAATGTTTCACAGGATGCTATAAGCGTATGTATCTTTTAAAATGACTGTCATCTTTACTGCCAAAAAGACTTGTTTCTTTGTTGTTACCAGCTTGTTTCCATGGAGATTGACAAGTTTTATGCATAGACTGTATAAATGGACATAGCTGACCTGCGCTGCTAAGTGCCCGCTCTGTGCTAGATTAGCAGTGTAGGCGGGAAGGGGCATTATCTTCAACAGCCTCATTCCAGAGGATCTTTGGTTGATACTCTCAGTCGGAATTCCTAATATGGAAATCCAAATTCTCCAAATTCCCCTCTATAATGCTGCATTCTATTCAATGTCAGTAGTCAATAAATTAAAGTCAGTTCTCCTGACATCGTTGTAAATCATTCCATTGCAACAATCGGCAAAATATGTATGCCCAAGAAAGTTACAATTTTTATTTTGTTAGCTTATGTAGTTAACGTCAGGTATCGCTAGCTCCTGCTAATAAATAGAGTCTGTTAGGTAATGTTATCTGTCAGTGACTCAGTTATGGCAGTTTGACTATGACATGTTCAGAAATCCATCTGACTTGGTCTGCTTCGAACTAGCCTTTTTGTTTCAGAAGACCAATTTGATTGGCCGCTCCATTGCACTTTCTTGAGATGAAGGTCGGTTTTCCCTGAATCCCGAGCACAATAGAATGCAGCATAACTGCAACCTTCGATGAGCTTCATTTGACTGGAGCAGAACGTTATGGTTTATGGTACAGTCTATGGTTTTATGCAAGTTTGCAGAACTTTTTAGGCAAAACTTTAACATCTCCATATATAGAGAAAATAAGTTTTGGACACTCCACTTTAAATGTTCAAGGTGCATCTTTAAATAGTGAAGTAAACTAAATATAAAGAACAATACAATGGGTTGACGTATGATTTATGTATGTGATTGGACAGCCAGACTTCCTTATCTCACAAGGGCAACAGACTTGATTCTGTTTTGGGATAAGTCAAATCTTATCTAGTCCTCAATCCAGCAAATCGTCAAAACCACAGCCCCCTCTCAAGAGCACGAGATTAAAAGGAATGCCACAAAACAAAATATGCAATGTGCTTTTCCAAACAGCTTACAGAAAAGGCAAAACTGTGTGTATGGCAATATATAAATAGATTTTTACTCACCGGCCTTTTCATTTTCAGATATGGGGTTGCTCTGTAAAATAAAAACAAAGATATTAGATTATTTATGCAACATGTGTTTCTAATTTCGCAAAAAGAAAATCATCACCCAAAGGTCCTAGATTAGAGCATTTTTAATAATCCAGAATTACTAAAACATGTGTGAATGAAACTAAACACAACTCTGGGTATGTTTTTGAGGAGGTAACAACATTATAACATGGCTAAAAACTCACAAGAGTCAATTCTGTGTAATATGGGACCTTCAAAATGATTTAAAGTAGAAGGTTGTTTGAAGAATCAACCACCACAAAAACGTGCACATTTTCAAAAACTAGTCTGGTATGGAGTAATATATCATAATTACTGAAAATAAAATTACTCTCTGAATTGAGTTACTGACATTAAAATGTCAAGAGTTCAGAAATTCCTTTACGTCTTTGTTCATTTTTAACATATGTGAAGTTGTGTGTCGTGCTTGTGTGTGAGCAGAGGGCACCAGTCAGTTGGAATGCAAAAGGTCTTTCTTGACTGTGACCTTTGACCCCAGGGTTCATTCTTTGACCTCTATAACCTGACCTGCTTTAATACACATTCTCCTCGCCTAAATCTGAAGAGGCCTTATTTTACAAGTGCAATTTTTAAAAGAGTAATACCAAAATGTTCTGAAAAATGTAGATGAAGACAAGAATATAGTTTATATATGAGTCGTTCACTTTCTTAATTTTATAAAGATGGGTCTGCTGCATATGTGCTTCTCAAATATCAAGGGGATTCTGCGCTTTATGACAACCGTCTGGTCAGCACAATGGTGGCTTTTATATATGGCTTGTTTTTGCTTTGTAGTAGGCATATTAAAGGTCTCATAGAGCGTAAAATTGACTCTTTAGAGCTTTAAGCCAAGTTCGAACGTTGTCACCTCATCAAAAACAGACCTGGAATTGTGTTTTGTTTCATTCACACATGTTTGAGTAATACTTTATTATTAGTCTGTCTTCATCTTTAAAGCTCAGAATGCTCTGTTTCACCTTGTGATGTCATGTAGTGGTAGAAATGGGCAATTCTAGGGCTAAAATCATCCAAATTATTCCAGTTTTTAAACTCTATAGAGTTTAAAAACACAAGGTGGAATAGTGTTTTCAGTTTGTGAGGAGAACACAGCCTAAATACTAGGGGTGTAACGATATCCAAGTCTCACGATACGATATCGTCATGGTATGAACCTCACGGTACAATATTTGTTGCGATATCGTGGGAAAGCTCTCAATATGGTGGGGAGGCTCAAGATAAGGGATGTAACAATATCCAAATCTCTCTGTACAATATTTTCATGATATACATCTCACGGTACAATATTTATTGAAATATTTTGTGGAAGCTATCAAAACTGTTAATAAGTGACTTTTTCCTCTTAAAATGACTTGACAAGACTTAATCCAAAGAACTAAGACTTAAAAGTGCTTAGAACTGTTATTTCTTCTTGTAGTCTGCACTGAAATGGAGCAATGGATCATGGTTTATGTAGTCTTTTTTTAGCTATTACTGCACCATAACTCTTAATTTAAGCAAAGAAACTTGAAATTTGATATATTGTGATGGTCCAAGACATTATTGTGAGAACTTTGATGATACGATATTACGATATTTTGGTTATTGTTACATCTCTACTAAATACACAGGGTTTGTGGGTTAAACATTTCTGAAAGAAACAAAACACAACTCCTGGTATGTTTGTGATGAGGAAACAACATTACATAGATCCGAAAATAGCATAATATGGGCCCTTTAAACTATCTATCTAATGATCTGAGGATACATGAGAGTGGGCCTACATTATACACTATAAAGTGAGCGTCCTGTGTTATGTAGTGAGCTATTTAGAACATTAAAACACTGAAAAATGCCACCACTGAAGTAAATACTATCAATTTACATTGTTTACAGAGAGGCTCATTATCAAAAGATAGGAAAAACAAGATGGGAAAGGAGTTATCTAATAGGCCAGGGACATGAAATCACATTATAATAGAGAAAATATGTGCTAATGATATAATAACTAGAGTTAAAACAGTCAATGCTCTAGGGCTAAATGAATTCCCTGTTCACTAAAGACTTGTCCTGCTGATCAATTAGCTGACTAAAAATTCGGGATGTTACATATCTCTAAGTATTTCATCCAAACTGCACTCACAAGACTGCACCTGCACAGTTCATGCCCAAGAAACTATTAATGTAGAAAAAAGTATTACGAAAAAGAAAAAAAAAGAAAAATCTGGAGTTTGAGCCTTTTAGATATAAATATATACCAAGAAATACAAAACCTTTTGCTAACTCACTCCTCATTAATTTCTCCTTTCTGCTCTTGTTCCATATAAATCTTTATAATCTACAGCAGTGACATCACGCTGGGGGTTTTCTACACATATCTCTATGTTCAGCAGTTACCATGGAGACACAACACAATGCGCTTATTAGCAAACACTCCCAAAAAGTTTCAAGATTGTCTGAAAACTACAAAATGGATTTAAACAACACATTTTCAGAAGCTTGTGATCAATCGAGTGTTCATGGTTCAGTTTAGGTGTTTTATTTTTAACAACAAAGTCAAGAGTGATTAACTAAAAAACTGTTGGATAATGTGATCTAGCTTGTGACTGTGAAGTTATTTGGACTTGTTTAATAGCACACATCAGTTCACATGTTGTAGTTAGAACTAAATCAGCTCTTTATGGTCAGAGTGTGTGAAAATGAAAGCTCAGATTAAAGTCTAACAAAGCTTCAGACAGAGCAGCGCCTTTGTAAAATCACACCACATCAGCTGTAAAGTATCAATACAAGGTTCTTTCACCCTCAACCTAAAGACACTGAGCAAAGTGGTTTGGTGGTAAAGAAAATGAGAATAGTTATTGATAAAAAATAAATCATAAACATGTTCTTTTAAAGGTGCATTGTAGGGGTGTAAGAAAAAAATCGATTCAATACTTCATTCCACAATTCTCGAATCGATTCAAAATGGATTCAAATTGATTTTTAAAATATTTTTCACAAAAATGTATTACATTCACTGTTCTCATGACTTTAAGAAATTAATACATTAAATTTCATACAACTGTGTTCTCTTGAAGGAGTAGTAATAAAGTAATTACTGATAAATCACAATATATCAACCATTGTTTTAGTATCAGGATATATTGTGATATTCGAATCATGATATGTATCGTATCATCAAACTCACCCTGCACACCCCTAACGCACTGTGTAACTTTTCTCCATGGAGATGCTATTGTTTTGTCTGGAATGCTCCACAGTATGGTATTAAACATTTCTATCTTCATGGAAACCAAACCAGACCAAGTTACAGGTCAGATCTGTGGAAAGACAACAACGCTCACAGTCAGAATGCCTGTTTTCTAAGTATTTTTGAGCAATAAAACCACCTGTAATTGAATAAATGTAAGCTGGAGGTGTTTAATGTCATACTGTGGAACATTACAACATTACAGAGTAGTGAAATATCCATAGAAACAAGCAGGAGACGGACCCCCAACCAAAAAGTTACACAGTGCAGCTTTAAAATACTGTCGCTTGAAAACGCAATTTGGGTGGTCTTTTTATAATCTTAATACACTGTACTAATTTTCAGATATTTTCAGGTTTCAGTTCGGGTTCAGCCGTGTGTCCCCTTTCTGTTGTGCAAACATTATACCACGGGTTGTTGCCAATGACCCCTGACGCCTTTTGCACACGCTGTAAATCTGGCCTTGGTGTTTTTCCTCATAATAACAATTGCGGTTCTGTGGCTTTGACTGCGCGAGTGTGAATGAATGAGTACCAGCTAGTACCAGGGCTATCCGACATACTTTGGACTGTATTTTCGTGCGCAGGTTGGTGGGCTGAGGGCCAGGGCTGTGTCAGGTGTTCACTGGGGAGAGCTCCGAAGTATCAGCTGCCTCATTTACTGCCACTAATTTACTGGAAATGGCTTGGTCAGGGGCACGGGGGGTATGGTATGTGTTTGCTTAACACAAATGCCTGAGCGATGTGTGTGTCTGGAGGTCTGTGCTGCTGTTTCTCAATAATTTAAAGTGATTTTGTAGCACCCAGAAGACAAAAGAGAAAATAGGAGCTTGTGACGTTTAGTAGGTGAAATGATTTGGGTGCTGGTGTGAGGTGAAATCTGGAGTAAAATGTTTAAATGTGTTGTTTTAATGGGTGCTAATGAATGTAATAGGTCATAAATAAAGCTACAGATAACAGTATTGGAAGCCTATAGCTGATATTTCAACAAGCAAACTACTCCTCCAGGTTTTTCTTTTTCCTACAGACTGTAGTTCTTTGCTAAGTGATTCGCAGAAATACGCAATGTTTTTCAATCCTCTGTGATATATTTTTCCTTTACCTTTTTTTTCCAATACAGATGGACCCTAGATGTTCCTGATTGGCTAACCCACCTGTCAATCACGCCCATATGAAAATGGAGAAATTCACCAGTGAACAGACTCAAATCTTCATAAAGTATTGAAGAAGTGTGTATTCTGGATCCCAAGCGACCAGTTCTCTATATTAATACCACCAGTTCATACTCATACACGATACGATACATGCCTCCATACAGCGCACTTTCGATTTGATACGATATATTTCAAATCGACTCGATGCAGTTTAATAAAAAATAATGGCTAAATCATAGCTGTGACACTAAAAGTCTTTGTTAAACCACTTCTTGTGCAAAGTTAATATGAAACATGTCCATTTTAATCCTCAAAACAGTGAAAATGTCAAATGCGTCACATAAACAAGTTTCCTTCCTCTGAATAAGCAACAAAACTGTAGCATTGTAATAAAATAATTTTGTAAGATATACCAATAAATACTCTTGGTGATATATCAAAACAGCAGCTCACAATATCAATACTGTATCATCACATTAAGTGATGCGATATATTGATATTATTATATTTTTGCACACCACTAGCCCTCACTTTATAACAACAAAATTCACCACAATAACAGTATAATCATTTTACCAGTCCC